AACCAAAAAACACACAAAACACACACACACTACAACACACTCTCTAATCTTCCCTTCTTTCCATCACTCACATTCTCAAAACTCTCTCACTCAAATCACTACACCCTTACCACTTCTTCTTACTTCTCACCTTTATAAACATTCATATCTACTCTCCTCTTCTCTTCTTCTTCTTCTCTTCAATCTAACACTACTTCAAAACTTAACTCTCTATCTACTATTCTCTCTTCTCACTCTCTCCTCTCTCTAATCTTCTTACTCTCTCTACACACAAACTCCCTCTCCCTTCACATCACACCAATCTCATAAAAAAAACCACAACACAAATCAATCTACATTAACCTATAACTCAAATCACAAAACACACAACCCAAACTTTTATCCATAACAACTTACATCACTCACCCATTACAAACACTCAAATACTTCTCCAAACATACACCAATATAACATAAACAAACCTATAACACAATCAACACCAAACAACAAAAATAAAAACCCCAAAATAAACATAACCAAATCAATTAACCACCAACAAAAAACACCCACAACAATTACCAAAAAACACAACCACACCAACAAAAACACCTCAACAAACATAACTCACTAACCACACACACCCACCCCTCCCCACAACAAAAAACACCAACACAAACAAACCCCACACAACAACACCCACCCACAACAACCTCATAAAAAACCACAAAATAATCAAATAACCACCCACACACAACCCCCACCAACCACCCAAACCACCACCAACCCAACAACAAAAAAACAACCCAAAAACCACAAAACACACAAAACAACACCCACAACCCCAAACCCATCACAAACAAAACACCCCCCCCACCACCCACCCACCACCCCACACAAAAACAACAACCCCCAACAAACCCCACCAACACCAACAAATCAACAACACCAAACAAAACCACACCACCCCCCCCACAACAAACCCCAAAACAAAAACCCCCCACCACAAAACAACAACCCACACAAACCAAACACAAACCACCCATCCCCCAAACACCCACCACAACACAAACCCCCACACCCACCCCAACCACCCCACCCCAAATACCCCAACACCCACCCATAAACATCTAACCACAATAACCAACACAAAACCAAACCTACCCATTTCACAACCTATACACACTACCACACCATACAACCCCATAATCATAATTACTCTAACCCACAATCAAATCCCCACCCAACTCTCTACAATTCTTATACAATACACATACTCTATCTTACCTCCCCCCATAAAAAATCAACCTAAACCACCAATCAACACCCAAAAACTCCATACCTCATACCCTCAATATCAAAACCCACTCCCAATAAACCACCCCCCCACCACCTACTAAAACCAAACCCCATATCCAAAATTAAATATCCCAACCACCTTCCAACCATTATCACATCCACACCACCACAATAAATTAAACATAAACCAATTACAACACCAACCATACAAATTCACCACATAAAAACCCAATTACATACAAACACATACTAATATAAAATATACCCCAATTACCTAAAAACCATATACATTACACCATTTAATACCCAAATTACCCATTACAAACATACTAATTAAACCTATACCATTACACACAAAACCTAACACATTACACAAAATACCAAAACAACCAAAACCATACAACTTAAACAATACCAATAAATACACCACAAAAAAAAACCATATACCCATACAACACAAACCATCCCCCAAATAACACCTACTACCAAAACAAAACAAAACATACTCAAACAACAAATACACAAACACCCCACCCCCATCCTAAATCCCAAACATATCCCAACAAACCCACTCCTCAAACACCATAACCCATAACATCACAAAAACATACAAACATTACACAATACCACAAACAACACACACATACAAAAAACACCAAAAACCCCATTACAAACACACCAAACAACCATACAATAAACCAAAATACACCACAAAACCAAAACAAACAAAAAACCCAAACAACCCCCCTAAACATAACCCCAAAAACACAACACCAAACCAAACAATAAAACAAACCCAAAAAACCACAACCAAACACCAAACCCACACCCAAAAACAACCCCCCAACTCCAACCCCACACCCCCCAACCCTCCAACCAAAATATTACACACAAAAAAACCCAACCAAAAACCACACAACAAAAAAAACAACAAAAAAAAACAAACCCAACATTCAAACAAAACACCAAAAAAACAACACACACAACCCCAACAACAAAAACCCCCACAACAAAAAACAAATACAACCCAACCAACCACAAACCACCACCAAAAACCCCCAAAAACCCTAACCCAACACAACCCACCAACACACCCACCCAACCCAACCCAAACACAAAAAACCACCCAACAACACACAACAAAACAACCCCCTTACACCTCCCAAAACAACCAACAACACCCCTCCACCCCCAACCAATTCCCCTAACCCCTATAAAATTCCCACACACAACACATAAAACAAAACACAAAAAACAAAAAAAATATCATATAACAAAATACCCAAAAAACCCTACACAACACCACAAACACACAACAAACAAACCCCAAACCAAACCCAATACAACAAACCCAACTCCAACCCCAAACCCCACCAACCACAACAACACACCAACACACAAAACCCCCCACAACCACCAAATAAACAAAAAAAATCAACAACAACAACCTCTACCACCACCCAAACCCCCCTCAACCAAAAAAACACCCAACCACAATCCCCCAACACACACAAACTCCAACCAAACCCACACAAACCTCCCATCCACAAACACCAACACAACCAAACAACCCTCCCAACACCTCACACCACCACACCCCACCCTTCCACAAAACAAACAACACACAAAACCATTCCCAACCAAACCAAAACCACTACACACCCAAAAACCACACAAAAACACATCAAACCCCCCACAACCCACAACTAACCAACCCACTACCCACCAACACACACCAAACCCACCTACAAACACACCACACAAACTCCAACAACCAACACACTCAAACCACAACCCACACCCACACCAACCCCACATCTAAACACAACACACAAACACCATCCAACCAACACACAACTACTCCATCCCAACACCACCCACTAACCCCACAAAAAACAAACTTTAACAAATTAAAATCAACAACCACCTAAACAAACAATCAAATTAAACAACTAAAACAATTTAAACAATTAACCAAAAATAAAAATAACAAAACAACACATAACACAATACAAATTACAAAAACTTTAAAACCTTCAAAAAAATTAAACAATAAACACACAACCCAAAAAACCCAATCAACAAAAAATACAACTTAAACAAACCCCAATACAACAACATTAAAACACAACCAAAAAAACACCCAAATTAAACAATTAACAAAAAAAAATAAAATAACAAATTAAAAAAATTACAATTAAAAATCAAACTTAAAAAATTATAAATAAAAATTAATAAAAACAAAAACAAATTAAACAAAACCAAATACAAATAACTATAAAATAAAATAAAAATAAAAATTAAACAATTAAACCACTCCTAAACACCCACACAAACTAAAAAAAAAAAACCTAACACCAATATCAATCCCTATCCATACAAATACTTCTAATAAAATAAAATATCTAAAACACCATAAATCCACCATAATATCACCAATATCACCTAAATCCACCTAAATCACATAATCCACCAATAACACTATACAAACACATAATCTCACAAATACCATATAACACAATATATCACCTAAAACACCAAAAAATACTAAACCCAAATAACCCCAAAAACTACCACAAACACATATATACCCCAATATTCCACCCATCACAACCCCAAAATCCCCAATAACACCAAATCCAAAAAACCATATTCCCCCCAAACATCCCCTACCAATAACACAACCCCACAACAAAACAACTCTCCCCTACCAATATCCCTATCCAAATCAACAAAATACAAACCCCATCTCCAAAATAATCCAAAATTCTCCACACTTTAACTTCCACCTTCCAAATTTTTAAACTTACATTCCCCATTAAATCTCCCTCTCAATTTCAATCCAATTTCCACCCCCTCTTATCTATCTTCTTCTCAACTATTTACACAACTAACAATTCCACCCAACAAAATCCCTCAACCCTTTCTTTAAATAATCCACATTCTTCCATATCATTTCAATAAACCCAACCCCATTACTTCTTTCCCATACCAACCACAACACTAAAATCAACCTCCAAAACCCATCAACCATCTCCAACTCATCACAATATACTACCTCCAACTCTACCCAACAATAAATCATATCCACCCAACATCACATAACAAACCACAACCTTAATAAACCAACACCAACAAAAACCCCCACAAACCTCACACACCCAAACAAACAACCAAACAAATATAACAAAAACTAAACTACCCTCCTCAACTCTACACCCACCACCACAATCCCCACAAACCCCCCCCCACCCCCACCAAAACCCCACCCAAAAAACAACCAAAACACCACCACCACCCCCCAAACACAAACACCATATCTCACCCAATCCCAAAAATCCTACCACAACATAACCACACCATCCCACTCCTTTTACCCCCAACCCCCAACATACTAAAACCAACAATAATACCCCACACTAATAAAAACCCAAACCTACAAACCAACCCCATACCTATACTAACATACAACTAATCCCCACTACCTTATACCCAACCAAATACAACCCACCTAATTAATAACCAAACTATACCATACCAACAATAATACCAAACAAATAATACCCAACAAAATACCTACCAACAAAAACAACAATACCCCAACAAAAATACAACTATATACTACCCAACCTAAAACAACCCCCACCAAAACCCCAACAAAAAACCCACCAATAACCAACCCAACAAAAACCACCCCCCACTACTATACATAACCCCCCACAACATCAACACCACAACCACCCAACCAAACCCCCTCCACCACACCCCCACCAAAACACCACCCCCCCACACACAACCCACCACACACCACCCCAACCCAACACCCCACACCTCCAAAAAAACCAACCAAAAAAACCCCCAACACCCCCCAAACAAACCACTCCACATACCCAACCACAAACAACCCAAACACCCAAACCAACCAAAAAACAAACCCAACAACCAAAAATCCACCCTAAAAACCACACCCCAACCAAACAACCAACACCCTCAACCCCACCCACAACCACACCAAAAAACCCCCCTCCAAAACTACCAACACCAAACACCCACATCACAAAACAACATACATACCCAACTAATACACCCCACCCTAAAACAACCCCAACCACCCAAAAACCCCAATAAAACAAACCAACTAAATCCCAAACCCAACTAAACAAACCAACAAAAAAATCCCACACCCACCAACCCAAAACACCCACCAAAAAATACCCCCCAAAAACCAACAACAATAAACATACCCAACCTAAAAACAAAAAACAAAAAACACCCCCAACCCCACAACCCCTCACACCCAACCCCCCAAACTCCAACACCCACACCTTACCCCCACCATAAACCAAAAATAAACACCAAACACACCCCCACCCCACCACCCCAACAACTCCCCACCAAAACATACCCCCACCAAACCACCACACACCACCAACACAAACAAAAAAAACCACCACTCATACACCCCACAAAACACAACCACCCAAACCCACCAACAAAAACCACCCATATAAAAATACCCAAACCTACATAATACCAAACTCACAACAAACACACCAAAAACAAACCCAACAAATACAACCACCCAAACCCAACCCCCCACAAATACAACCCCAACACCTACCACCAAACTCCCCCCCAACAACACCCAACAAAACAACCAACCAAACCAACAAAAACAACCACACCAAACCCCCACCAAAAACACTCCAACAAAACAAACACAAACAACAACCCCCCACCCACCATACCCAACCTAAAACCATACCCAACCAAAAAAAACCCACCCTAACAAAAAAACCCACCACAACTAACCAACCAAACAAAACCCAACAACAAAAAAACCCAAAATAACAACCCAACCAAAATAAACCCACCAAAAAAACAACACCAACAACCCCACCAAAAAAACACAATAAAAAACCAACCACAACAACCAACCTACAATAATCCCAACTAATAAAACCCAAACAAACTAAACAACAAACATTAATACCACAAAAAAAACCCAACTATAAACCATCCCCAACACTAAATTAATACCAACCCCAAAAAAAACCCAACAATATAATACCCAACCAAAAAAAAACCCACCAAATAAAACCCAACAATAAAATACCCCAACAAATAAAACAAACCTCATAATAAACCCCAAAATATACAACTATAATACCCAAACCTAATAATACCAACTCTATAATACCACCCCAAAAAAAAACCCAATATAACTCAATACTCTAAAACCAAAACATCAAATTAAATTAAAAATTATCATCTCACCCAATACCTTATAAATCAAATCTACACCATCTATCTCATTCAAATAACCTAATCAATTATTACATTCTAATTAAACCCCTCACTAATTCACACCCTCCACTAATTAACCTACTAATTTACTACTAATATAAACCCTCACTACTTCAACCTACTAATTCAATACCTAATTTTAACCTACTAATTAACCTATACCTTAACCTCCACTAATTTATCCACCTCCATCCACCAACTAATTTACACCTACTAAATATCACCAACTAATTCAACCCTATAATTTACACCCTATACATTCACACCCTCACTAAATCCACCCTACTAATTCAACCACCCCAATAATTTAACCTACTACATTCAACCTCAAATTAACCTACTAATTAAACCTAAAAAAATAATTAACCTACTAATTAAACCTATACATTTAATACTAATTTAACCTAATCCAATTAACTACTACATTTAAATCACTTATTATACACATACTCCATTAACCCTCACCTAATCTTAACCCCCCTACACAAATTTAACTAATACCCATTTAACCCCTAGATTTACCACTTAATTTAACCCTACCTACATTATTAACTCTATTCTCTAAACCATACTTCAATAAAAAACACCCTCACTCACACCACATCACCCCACAACACCCTCCACCCCAAACATCTTACCCTATAAATAACAATCACATATAATCTATTATATCAACACTCAATAATAATCTTCCACCCCCAAATACCTTTAATCTTCTACCTATAATACACTTTTCTCCCACCCCATCATCACCAACAAACAAAACACACCCCAATTACTATCACCAAAAATCCTTCACTTCCATCCAACACAAATAAAAACTTCAACCCAATTAAACCCAAATTACCCTTCCACTCCCCCCTAAACTAACCACACCTCCCAACCCATCCCCCCCAACCAATAAAAACCTCCATATCCAACCCTTTAACCCTAAAACCTAATCTAAATCAACTATATAAAAAAAAAATACACCCACACATAACAATCAACTCTACTACCATCCCCACCCATAACACATCATTAATTCCCTTACATCATCATACCCTCCATAAACAATCCTACTCCCCCACAATCCACCCCCCCCTCACTTATTAAATACCCCAAACCCCTATTCAAAACCAAAAAAAATACCAAATACATCTTCCCAATATACACTACCTTCAATTAAAAATATAATCTACCATCAACTCTCACTACATCAACTTCCCAACCATTATAACCATCATCTATAATATCTACAAATAACCAATTCTCCTTAACATCAAAACCAATCTCTACAAATTCCCCACCTCCACTAATAAAATACATAAATACCCCTCTACCATAAAACCAACTTTACCACTCTATCCCTCACATATATTCTATCCTATCACCTTATTATATTATAACACATATAAAAAATATTATAACTCTACCCCTATCACTTAACACATCAAACTTCATCAACTCTTATTCATTTATAATAACCCACCTCACCTCCCTTATAAAAATATACTATCTAAACATCACCCTTAAAACACACCCATATTTACTACACAAACTATCTAATCTTCTATAAATTTTCTTTCTATACATATAAAAACCATAAATCCATTCAACCAAAACCATACCAAACATACCCACAACAATACACACCAAACCAATAAACCCAAATCCACAAACTCCCAAAACCCAAACCCACCATAACAACCCCCACCACCAACCCCCCCCCACCCCCCACAACCCACCCTAACCACAACCCCCACCAACACAACACAACCCACAACACACAACACAACCCCAAACCCCCCACAACACCAAACCCCACAACACCACCCACCCACCAACACCACACCACACACCAACAACAACCAACAAACACCAACACAAACCCACCCCCCCAAACCCAAACCCCAAAAACACCACAACAAACAACCCTCCACAATCACTCACACCCAAAAACAAAACTCAAAAAAAAACAACCACACCCCCCCCAACCCCACCCCCACACCCACCCAACCACCCCCCCAACAACCCACCAATCAACAAAATATTACATAACCCCCTCACAACACTACCCTATACATCCACTCCAAACTAAAAAACACCAACCTAACCCAAACACCACTACACCCAATCCAAATAAAAAAAAACACCCCAAAACACCCACAATCAACCATACTCACCACTTATCCCAAATAATCACACTACCAAAACACCCCACCCAAAACAAACCTATCATCAATCTAAACAAACCCTACACTCCAACAAAACAACCATTAAAAATAACAAACCACCCTCCTTAAATTTACACACCCTACAAAAAACAAACATCATAATAAATACAAAAACCAAATTTCAACCCAACCCCAAACTAAACACAATTTAACAAAAATTCCATACTAACTCTCCTCTAAACTACCCAAACTCCATTATTCCAATCTACATCCCCCTAATTATACCATTTAAATTAATCATATACCACCCCCCATCTATAACCTTCAAAATCATTACTAACTCTCATACTATAATACCACTCCAAAAAAATCAAAAAAACACCCAATTCCCCCCCCCACACCAATCATCCACTACCAAAAAAATCCCCACCCTTCACATCCATCCCCCCCACCTCCCAATATACACATCATATTAAACAATAATCCTTTACAACTTACCCCAAAATAATCCCCCCCCCATCCCATCCCCCTTATCCTTAACATAAAAATATAACAAACATAACAACCCTAAACACACACCCAAAACTCCCCTATACAAAAATAAAACAACTCACCCATACCACCCACAAATCTCCCCAACCACAACCCCACCCCCACCCCCCAAACAACAATTATTAATTTCTCTATCCCCTAATATTAACCAATACCTTACATTCATACTCTCTTCATATCTCTAATTAACAAAACCTCTTAAACATTAAATTCCCAACTTTTTTACTTCTATTCTCCATCCCCATAACTTCATTACTATTATTCTATCCAAACCACCTCACTTTTATCATTAATTCATTTAAAATAACAACTTCAACTAAATCCTCCTCCTCAACCAACACAATTACCTTTAACACCCCTCATATCAACCATTAACTATCAACCCCATAATCCACCAAAACCCTCCCTCCTATAACCCATACTACACCCCCTAAAACAACTCTAAATACACCACCAAACAAAATTCAATCAATTCCCTCCCCTTCACCACACTCCCCAATACTCATCCATACATATCTCAATTTTATAACAAATAACTCAAATCCAATCACACTAAAAATATAATATAATAAATATATATATCTATATATCTAATATAAATCTATATATATATATTATATATATAACAATCACAAAACATTCCAACCCACATTCACTAAACACCCACTCCACCTCTCACCACATCTTAAAATCTATCCCACAACTCAACATATTCTAAATTAAAAACAAACTCAAATCCAACCATACCCCCACCACCTACACCCACCCCCTTTCCCCCACATACATCCCCCCACATCTTAACAAATTAACCCACTCTAATAAAAAAAACCCAAAAACCACAAAACCATCAAAATAAACATACCTACTAAACAAAACAAACAACAAACAACCAACCCCCAACACAAAAAACCATATCTACTTTCTTCTTTTACTACCACTCCCATACTAACCTATAAAACTCAACTAAACCCCCCCTAAAAACATACAAACCACACAACAACTAATTAAAAACAACACCAAACCCTCACCACCTCTCAACT